GTAATTTACAACAGCTTCGAACGCGGCTCAACCAATCAGAATCAAGGACCGGAACTATCCGTTTTATAATATGTATTAGGGATGCACTGATAACACTTTTTCCATAACAAGTACGATACTAATACTTTCATTTTTGGTACTTGCCGATACCAATTACAGATACCTGTTTATTTATTGCATTTTTAAATTTGTTTTTTAAATATTGGGTAGAGAAACCAAAAGATATGAATCATATTAGTTGGCTTATATTGTTATATTGTTTAATAAATAGATGTTCCTTTACTCATTTTCACACTTAATTATGTGTGGGATGAATGTGGGAATATAAAAAAAATATTATTTACAAGAATATATATATATATATAATTAACAGTATGAATATTATATTTATAAATTAGAAATAGAATTGACATTTTATAACAAATTTGTTTATAAACATTTATAATGATTTCATATATAATTTTATAATAACGTTTTCATATAATTTTATATATATATAATTTAATATTATATGTATATACATATACACAATTTAACACTATAAATATTATATTTATGAATTATAAATATAATTTAAATTTTTATTATACATTTATATATAAACATTTATATTAATTTCATATAAAATTTTATAACAAATTCATATAATAAAATTCATTTATTTTATTACATTTTTAGATTACTATTATTATTACCATACCATTATTTTTAGTTTTTGCTTATTTATATATAATTCATACTATAAATATTAATGTATTTTATATGTATTTTATAGAGAGATATAGATACATAATCTTTCATTTACATTATATTTGCAGTATATAAATGACAAATATATTATACATATTTACAATAAATTTGTAATAAATGTATATAATATAATCTGATATATAATAAATGATTATGATTTATTATGAATATAATCAATGATTTTTATTATATGAATTTGTTTTATTCCATTATTATATTGTTTTCGCTCATTTATTCAAACTGCTTTTTATTAACTCTACTGTAGGAAATTATATGAATGTACATTAGATATGTTTTTATCCGAGAAGGCCGGTGTCGTTCAGCGTGTATTTGGCTTTCTTGACCTGTGCGTCCACCGGCCCCTTTTCAATCTGGTGCTTTAGGGCCCTGAAGAGTTTGTAGAGCGGCTCTCCGGCGCTGTCCTGAACAAACAGCAGCACTTTAACACAAGCCTGTTGCTGCTTTCATTCCTTACCCACAGACACACACAAGCATTCCTCCTCACTCCACCTGAGGCGTTGAAGAATTCACAGTTCAAGTGTGTCAGCGACTCAAGTGCTGATTCATGCAGATGAAGAACAGACACTACTTCATTAAGCACTATTATCATCATCATCATCATCATCGGTCACACACATGAATATCAAAGCTTCACTGAAACACGCCGTGGACAGAACTAAACCAAACCCTACAGGACCTTAAAATACTAATAAACCCATCTAATGTAATATGAAACTTAAGGTGAAGTGTGTAATACTTCCTGAAAGATGAAGCTTCCAGATCAAGATTTGACTTGATCATTAAATCCCGATGTATGGTTAAATGAAATATGAGTGAATATTTATTAATGTGTGTCATGTTTGATATTTTACCTTCAGGTATTGATAGAGACAGATGGACATCCAGTTACTCAGCATCCTTTCCACCACCGTTTCAGACCTGCAAACACACACACACACACACACTTACTAACTAATATTCAGTAAAATTAACAATTAAATTGAAAAAAATAATAAATAATTTTATATAAAAACAATTTAAATAATATATAATTTTACATAAAATTATAATTAAAAACAATTAATAAATAAAAAACAATTAATAAATAAAAATTGATAATTTTATAATAAAACGCTTAATAACTAACATTCACTAAAATTAAACTGGAGTTTGGATAATAAATGGATTAATAAATTGGATTAATAAATTAAATCATTAAACTGTATTTTTTTTAAATTAATAATTAAGTTATAAAAATTAATACATAATTTCATATTGAAAAATTTGCTATATGTTATATGTATATTAAATTAATAAAATAATTTAACACAATTAATAAAAACAATTTTAAATATTAAAACATTAATATTCACTAAAACAGTGTTTTCCAGTTGATAAAAAAGCTAATAATTAATTACATCATAAAACTGTAAAATGATAAAAATGTTAAATTAATAATTAAATCATAAAAGTGAATAAATAATTGTATATAAAAAATTATATATATATATATTATATATAAAATAAAATAATTTAAAAAAAAAAAAAAAAAAAAAAAAAAAAAAATGAAAGAAAAATTATATTTTTTAATATTTTACTTTTATATTAAAACACTTACACACACTTACTAATTAATATTTAATAAAACAGTGTTTCCCAAACTGGAGTTCATGAGTTGATGAAAAGCTAATAATTAGTTTATATTATATTATATTATACTGGGATAACATGGACACTTTTTCCTCTGCGAACCTCTTAATATTATTTTTTATTATAAAACTGCATCTCTGAAATCACATTTGAAGCTCATATCCAATCTGATCTGTCAGTTAAACACTATATTAACACGACAAGTCGCTAAACAGCCAACAGTCGGGCTAATGAACTAGACTTCATGATGGAATAATTGTTTATGATGATTATTATTAATAATAACCACAGTTATTTATTGAACACGGATGTTGCGGTTGCTGGCTGTTAATGAAAGCAACAAGCCACTTGAGGCAGTTATCTGAAGTGGTTTCTGCTTCAACAACGGCCCTTAACTGTGTTAAGATCAGTGTAACGCACGGCCTCCAGTGGCCTACTGCTTTAATCAACACTTCCACACTCATTTCTGACAATAACAAACAACAATAAATAGCATCAGCACCCAACTATGACAATCAAAGAAGCACGTGAACATGATGCTGGAGTGTGTGGTGCGTGTGGATGGGCTTTGTTTTTTTTTTTTATGTCAAGACATGTTTTATTTGACAATTGATTAAAAAATGGCATATGAGAAAGAGTTTACTGATGTTTGTATAATCTCTCGCATAGCAAGAGTTTGGCTTTGTGGTCCATCCAAAATGAATAACCATCTATTTCACATTCATGCTTGCGGATGTTTGCTTTTCTTTAACTGCCTCAAACTAAAACTCTCAATATATTTAAATGATTCAATGCCACAAAATTCATAAACAAACTTCATATGGGAAATCTAGGGACTAGTTAGGCCTTGGGAGCCTTATAAGCGTGAATCTCATGAAAACCTGTCAAAAACATGCCCAGGTTATATTTCACCCCAAAATCAAAGCACAAGAAATAAAATATATTTTACACAAAGAAAAAAAAGAATATTGTTAGAAGCATTTCAACTAGACAGGGCGGGACTTATCTAGCAGCCCCGCCCCCTTTTTTAAAGGGGACATCGGATGCCCATTTTCCACAAGTTGCAATGATTCTCTAGGGCAGTGGTCGCCAACCCATTGATTGCGATTGACTGGTAGATCTTTATCACAGGTCAGGGATCTTGGGCCTAAAAAGGTTGGTGACCACTGCTCTAGGGTCTTCATAAAAAGTATACAACATACTTGGTTCAAATTTCTCAATGGTAGTGTAAAACAACACCCTTTTTACCCTGTCAAAAACAAGTGCTAAAATGTATTATATTTATGATAAATATTTCATATCATTATATTAATTTATTATCTATTAATATATTTTATTATATTTTTATAATACAAAAAAAATGAAAATGACAAACAAAATAAAATTACTAAAACAAACTAGGGTTAAAATGAAAACATAACACATATATAAATACGACTAGAATAACACCGTTAACTAATAAAACGAACTAATATTTAGTTTTGACTGCTTTTATTGTCCTCATTTGTAAGTCGCTTTGGATAAAAGCGTCTGCTAAATGACTAAATGTAAATGCAACTAATAAAACACATTCATCCTGGCTTCCAGAAGTTGCGTAAAACCAGCCAATCAGATTGCAGACTAGGAATTTTGAAACATTTTGCCATAGACCTTAGTTAGTCTCACCTGCGGAGCAGCAGTTTAGGGTTCTTGCTGTGAACATAATCCTCCATGAGCCCCAGCAGAAGCGTCCTCATGATGTCTGTGTAATACTCCAGTTTACCGTGAAGCGCTACGGTCAGCAGAGATGCGAAATACACTTTGGCCCTGGCGTTAAAATCCGGACGGCCCTCCAGCGTTCTGATAAACTTCACACAGAGAGATTGCGGTTTACAAACACTAATTAAACCAAATCGACTTTCCTGTATGATTAAAAGTGTGGAGCATTCCGATTTACAACTTAAACGAGCATCTTGTTATATTCTAATGATTATTATGTTGGTTCTGATGGACTTTTGTGTGGTGGTGGGAAACGATATAAACACTGGGGAGATAATTACAGGCCAGTCTTAAAACACGGACGGTGTGCTTGTTTATGTGTATACATGTGTGTCATTAGATGTAAATGTTTAATTGTGCTTGTGCCATGAATATAAAAGACTTTAATGAGAGCGCAGAAGCTGATTGAGTCCTCTGGGGCCGTTTTAGACTCATTCGGTATAATTGAGCGACTGTCTAAAGGCTTCATCGCTGATGTGTGTTGTTTCTGATGAGAAACCTTCGACAATTATCGTCAAATATTAATCTACTGACCTTTCCCGCTGTTAACTGCACAGAATGGTTTAAAATGAGTAGGTGAAGAGTGTATAAATGGATCATAATTACAGTGTGTGTGTGTGTGTGTTTCATACATTGATGAGGAAAGTTTTGCTGTTGAGCAGGTTGGAGAACTGGTTCAGCGCCTGGGTGACCGTAGCCCTGCGGGATTCTGGGATATCCAGTTTGCCGGTGATCATGACGTCGTTGGCGCCATCCTTCGAGGGCAGGAAGAAGACGCGGTCTGTGTAGGTCTTGTAGTCCAGGAACGGGATCCGGCCCTCGCTGATGTCGTTGGTGTGGTCCTCCATTTCGATCATCAGATCTGTACAGGAAATGACAGGTTCAACGTTAATGACGTGTTCAGATCCAAGTAAATTTATCCAGACAGTTCTGAGATTTAGTTTTAAAGACTAGGTTGAGAATTAAAGACCAGATTAATATCCCAGAATACGTATCATTAGTACAGATCAAAATTTCATTAGTACGTATTAAAACCACACTTCTGGGCAAAATGTGAGGCAACGCTGCAAATACCGTTGATTAATCGATAAATAAATAAATAAAAGGGTGAAAGGATAGATAAATAATAGATTAAATGAAAAATAAGATGTAATAAATACATAAATAAATATATGTGAATGGACAGATAAGCGACTGTCAATTAAAAAATATCTGGAAAGATAGGAAAACAATAGATTAATTGATAAATAAATAGGTGGATGGATGGATGGATGGATGGATGGATGAATGAATGAATGAACAAATTAATGAACAAATGTATGGACAGATAGATAACAAATGAACAAATAGATAATAAATGAAAAATAGGTGGAAAATAGGTGGAGAGATATATAAAGACATAAACAGTAGATTAATAGATAATAACTAAATAAATAAATAATAGGTAAACAATGGATTAATTAAAAATAAAAAGTAACAAATATATGAATAAATAAATGGTTATCTGTCCATTCACATTTATTTATTTATATATTTATTACTTTTATTACAACTGTCAATTAAAAAATATTTGGAAAGATAGGAAAACATTAGATTAATTGATAAATAAACAGGTGGATAAATAAATAAATGGATGGATAGATAACAAATGAACAAATAGATAATAAATGAAAAAATAGGTGGAAAATAGGTGGAAAGAGATATAAATGTAGATTGATTGATAAATAAATAAATAAAAAACAAACATATAAATAATAGGTTGCTGAATGAATGAATGAATGAATGAATGAATAAATTATAAATTAATAATAGATAAACAATGGATTATTTGAAAAATACAAAGAAATAAATACATAAATGTGAAAGCACAGATAAATGACTGATAAAACAAAAAATAAGTAGAAAGATAGATAATAGATTAATTGATAAATATGTGAATAGAGAGAAAAACAAGTGATAAATAAATACCTGCAAAGATAATTAAAGAATGGATTAATTGAAAAACAAAGAAATAAATACATAAAAGTGAATGGACAGATAAATGACTAACAAATAAACAAACAAACAAGTGGATGAACAGCTGACTTATAAACTAACAAACAAACAAATGGGTGGCAAACAATTGATAAATAACTGAATAAATAGAAGCTGATAGCATGCTTTAGTCGAAAAAACAATACAAAGAATTTACAGAAGCCATACACACTGAGACTGCCATATTCTAGTCCGATTAGTTGCCTCGTCAGTAAGCTGCCTGAACGAATAGTTCCATAGTCGTCACTTTTCCATTGTAGACACAAAGAAAAGCTTTTTCCTAGCTTAAATCATCTGTTGCCATGCTAAAAACACCCTATTGCCATGGTAACGGGATTATGTGTGCACATGTGACCTGTGAACTCTTTCTTGCAGCGGTCACGAACACTCTCCTCCAGATTCTCCAGCTGATGCTTCACTTTCTCGTACTCTCGCTCAGCCTGCTGGCTCTTCCTCCTACACACAGATGATCAGATGAATTCATTACATGAAATGTTCACTCAGACGAACAGCTCAAGGGCATGGTGGGAAGTGCAGTTCTTCTCTGTAACCTGTAGCAGACGACGGAGATGGCGATAATCAGCAGCATGGGAACAAGCACCGCCGGGATGATGATGGGCAGCGGGAGATTGTACTTCCTCTCGTACCGAACTGAGCCGACCAACCACTCGCCATTGCCAAACTTAATCTGAGTGAAGGAGAAACAGACTGTGTTAGGTGTGGACGGATGGATGAAAAAAAATGGATGGATAAACCGATGGGTAGATGGAGAGATGAATATATGAAAATGTGGATGATGGAAACAAACTAATAAAAAGGTGGAAAGATGATTAGATAGATAGATAGATAGATAGATAGATAGATAGATAGACAGATCAAACAAATAAATAAATAAGTGAATGAATGAATAGATAAACAGGTAGATGCATAGATAAAAGGACAGATGGTTATATGATTATATAAATAAACAAATATAAATATGTGGATGAATGATGGATGGATGGATGGATGGATGGAGGGATAAGTAAATGAATAAATGGATAGACATGTGATGGACTGGTGAATATATAAATAAATAAAACAAAATCATATTTTTTTATGAAATATAAAAATTTATATTTAAAAAAATTAATAAGTGGATGGACAGATAAATGTATTAATGGATACATAAACAAAACACAAATTTAAAGAATAACATATAAAATAATATATATTTTTTATTGTTTTACTTTAATATTTTTACTATATGCATATTTATTTTTAATTTTATTTTAGTTTAAAAATTACAATTTAGAAAAAATAAACAACAAAGAAACAAATAAATGGGTGGATAGATGCATAGATAAATGGGTGCAAATAAAGGTTTTTGTCAAAAATGGTTAAATATAAATACACTGATAGATGGATGAATGGATAAATAATTATATAAATAAACAAATATGAATAAATGATGGATGGATAAATAGATGAATAAGTGGACAGACAGATTAGTGATAGATGGACTGATGGACATAAATAATACATACATATATATACACACAAACACACATTTATTTTTTCTGAAATAAAATATAAAAAAGGTATGTTCAATAACTATTTGTAAGAAATAAATAGAAACAAATAAATATGTGAATGAATGAATAAATAGGTGGCTTGAAGGATGGCAGAATGAATGGATGGATGTTGTTGTCTCACCACCAGGTCCAGCGGGTTGGAGCCGGTGTCTCTCCTCTGTCTCTTGGATCGAGCACTGGGTACGGTCGACGGCGGGTCCAGGAATAATTTATCATCCTGTAACGTGTTTACGTTACACTGGGCGTCTCCCACAAACGCCTGCGCTTCTTTCGCCGTCATCGCTTTAGAAAAACCACGACCCTGAGACACAACAAAAACATGTTTACGAGCGTGAAAAACCCCTGTCTGAATGACATTTCGAGCAGATACTCACAGTCACGATGATCATGCTGTTTTCAGTGATAACGGTCTTGCTGAGGCTATCGAACGTGGGGTCAGGGTGATACTCAAACGGTGTCAGCTCGGTCTGGAGGTTATCGAGCTGCACGTACGTCCTGAAGAACTGAGACTCGTTGACCGCAGGTGACACAAACTTGATCAAGGTGTCGTTTTTGAATGTGGACTGCTCTACAAACTGAGAAAATGAGAGACTGTGTTAACATCACTTCTCTAAATTGAGACAGCACGTCATATTCTGCCTACACAGACAAACACGTCCACGGTCCATGATGCTAGTCTAGTTCTAGTCTAGTGCAAGTGTAAGTCTTGTTATAATCACTGAAACTGCTAAATGAATCTCTATACATCATATCTACACTTTATTGTTTATGATGTAGTCTCATGTCCATTTTTGCACAATTTCGTCATATTCGTTAACGTGCTTTATGAAAGTAACTTTTAGATAACTTTTTGCCAGAATGCTCTAAAGACGAACTGAGCCAATTTTGTTGAAAATTGGACAAATCCTCTAGGAATTTTGCTTTTAGACCTTTCTAGTTCCAAAAGTTATTAGCAGAAACACGAGTGCAAATTTGGCCTGTTGGTGGCGCTAGAGACTCCAAATTTGTTGTGGTTAATGATGAGACTGTTCTCTATCTGTGTACCAAATTACATAACTTTCCCACAAGCGGTTCTATAAGATTCATAACAATACGCTAAAGCATTCGTAAAATACAGCATTTTACTACAAAATTCTAAATTGTCCACACTCAAATTGACTTGACATGGAAAAAAAGGGTATCGGTTGATTTGTTATACCGCCCTGAATCTAACAAGAACAATCTTATTATTTTTGGTCAAACTTTTCAGAAATTATAAACAAAAATTTCCATTTTTATATCTTTTGACCAGTAGGTGGCACTGTGCCAAAACGATTTTATATTTATATTTTAATAATATATATTTTATATATTATTAAATCTTTTTGCCAGCACTGTCTGTAGATGATCTGAGCCAATTTTGGTGAAAATCTCACAAACCGTCTAGGATGAGTTCGAAAAAGTAGATTTTTTGCAATATTCAAAATGACAAAAAATCTTAATCTTAGTATGTATTCGTCTTCAACAGGAAATCAGAGGAAAAAGGAATTTTGCTTCTAGACCTTATGTTTCAAAAGTTATTAGCAGAAATATGAGTGCAAATTTGGCCTATTGGTGGTGCTAGAGAGTTTGAGTTAGAGACTCCAAACTTGCTATGGTTAATGTTGAGACTGTCCTCTACGTGTGTGGAAAATTTCTCGCAAGCAGTTCTATGGGCTGCCAAAGACTTCCAGAGCAGAAGAAGAAGAAGATACCGATATAACGAAGACATAACAGACAGATCCCTCGGTGCTTGGCCCCTGATTACGCGAATTGACACTTTTCATACATTTTTCACATTCCATTTTAATCGCATGAGCAGTAATATATTTAGTTCAATTGTGCAGGGGCAATTTTTGCCCCTTTATCTCGAATTTGTGGGGCATTTTTGTTCATTTTGGTGGCATTTTTTTCCAGAAGCCCTCGTTAATGTCCAACCATGACATGGACTGAAAGTCCTCAGACAGCAAAACAGAGGAACAGATTTCACTGCAGCTGGGAAATCTATTGATATTCTGAGAGGGAGCAGCAAAATTCCCTAAAAGTGGGGGCAGAAAATCTGATAGATAGACAGATGGAGCAAGAGCGATGGAAGCAGTGAGACCGCTTGAGAAAGGGCTGGAGTACAAAAGCTTCTCCTCAGATAAGGGAGATGAAATGAAGCGTTCATCAAGTTTTTCGTTAGATAAATGCTTGTTTAATCTCCGTCTCGTTGAGCGCTTCGTATCGGAGCAGCTCTCATCATTTCAATTAGAAGCTGAGCGATTCATGCAAGACGGAAACCCAACAGCGAGAGGAACAGATGAAACGAAAAACAAACAGCAAGTGATGTTTCCCTCGAGAGCCGCTGGAGATCAGGGTTGGTGTTTCTCGCTCTCACCTCTTCTGGGACGGTCTGTCTGGACCATTCTCCAGCCGACGCCACCACTCTGATAGAAGCCTTCTGGACCAGGTCAAATCCAGAACCCACCACCATGATTGTTCTGCCACCACTGAAATACACACAATAATTATTTTTTTTATTTTGTTTGATGTTACACTGCTGAAGGGCAGAGTATAGTCAAATCTTGTTATAAAATAAAACGATTATACTATAAAATAAAGCAATAAGCCCCAAGAAGCCGTGGTTTACAGTGAATTTATAACAGCTAAGGGGCGTTGTCCTTAGCTGTTATAAATTCACTGTAAACCACGGTTTCACGGGGCTTATTGCTTTTATAAAACGGTTATTCCATATTTGTAGTAAGGTTTCACAAAATAAAACAGAGCAAATAAAGTGAAATGATAATAATAAAAACATTATTCTTCCACCAATCAATGTAGTTCCTCAGAATCAGTTGTGGTTGCAACAAAGTGGTTGCCGAGCAACACACAGAAGTAAACAAAGGTGTGTTTGTAGAGTAATTTACAACAGCATAGAACGTGGCTCAACCAATCAGAATAAAGGACCGGAACTATCCGTTTTATAATAATATTGTTTACATAATGTTGAGGTGTGTATCTATCTCTCTCTATATATTATACTACAATCTAAATTTAATATTTAAAAAAAATTATCAAATGAAATCTACAAAACTATTTGAACTATACTATATATATGAACAATATAAGTGTTATACAAGTTAATAATTATATATATATATATATATATATATATATATATGTAGTCAACA